TTTCTTTTGCAAAAGTTGACTGGCTTTGGTTTTTAAGTTTGCACACAAAGTTGGCCTGTGTATTGGGGGTAGCAAGTGAAATTACTTGAAATGCATTACATGGAAAACTTTTCCACCATCTTGTTGTACTTGTTAGTGCCGGTTTTGCAGTAGCCTTTAAGGCGCTTTTCCAAGGACTTGGCCAACTATTGGCCCGCTCTGTTGTCCCGGATCGCCTCAGTTGGCTGCCAAGTTACAGCCCACATTGCCGTTGCCAGCCCGAGTCCCGTTTGGTTCAGTCTAGGGGATTATTGGCTAGTTTATGCAACTGCCTTTACTGGAACGAACTGACAGCCTGGCTTAGGGCGCTATCTATCGATATGCATGCCCATGGCCTAAAACTCTCCTGTGGTCAAATTTGTCCTCAGACTGCAGACAAAGTTTTATATGCCGTTCGAATTTAATATGGTAATTATTTTATCAGGCCAAGAAGGGTGAGGTTTAACCCTTTTGAAATCGATCGCCTTTAGAACAATTATTAATTGGATGATATGTTGTAAAGATATTTGCTTGTGGCGTTTGTTTTTTCAAAGGACCCCATGCTGTTGTAATAAATTCTAAATACAATGTTTATTAGTTAACAGGACTCTTCATTAAAAAGGTTTTGCATGATAAGTCTGGTTGAATAGGTACTAATGCTTACATTAACATTCTGCGGATCCAAAGGAATTTTGCAACGTGCCTCTACTATTGTCCTTAGCCTTTGTTCCCGCACAAAGGACATAAGTCCATGAGGTTGGGAGAGTGTGTGTAGGTGGAAAGCTTTGCCGTTGTAATTGCTGTTATTACAGCTGTTTGCTTGTTTGTACTTGTTGGGTTCTGATGTTGCTGCAGTTTGTTGCCTTTAAGCTAAAGACTTAATGCGCTTTACTGGCCCAACGCACTACAACCTGCATTTACCTCTGTGCAAATATATTCTGAAACGCAGCCAAACAAAAATATGGAAAAGAAAATTCGTATGCAACTGTGGTTAAAAAATGCAAAAAATACCAGGAGGTTAAAAAATAAAAATAAACTAAAATAACGTATACGAGTACCTTTGAGGTATTGTATGCCTTTGCGCTTGCCAATATTTTAACACTGCATGAATGAACGCTCTTTAGAAGTAGAAAAGAGAAGACAAAATTCCTGCATTAAAAAATCGTTTAAAATAATGACAAGTGAACGCGTTTCTCTTGAGCGATGAAAAATTTTTCGTTGACCAATTATACGAAAGTCATGTTATCTCAAAAACCTCATAATGCGCGTTCCGAAACATTAGGCACCCACTTTTTTATAGCCAGTGTCAAACTTATTTAAAGTTTCAGCATTAGACCTTTTTTATTTTGTTACAATTTTCTAACCTAATGGGATGCACGTCATGGTCTGAGTTGACATCTTGGTTCGTCCAAAAACCACAAAAAAAAGTCTCTGATGAAACTTTTCCTGCAACTTGGGAGTGTTGGTCGGGGACCGCAGTAATGTCGGCCTTGGTGCTACAACGATAAAATAAAGCATGAAGAAACCGCACGAAAGGTTGTCAAATAAAATCCTGGGAAACTGCAATAAATCACGTAGCACTGCAATCATTTTCTCAGCGCAAAGCGCCCTTCAAAAAGTGAGCGCAAAACATATAAGATCGTTTATCAGATTGAAAATAAAGCAGATTTTTGCATTTGGCTGTATAAAAAATATGTATTACAATTTGCATAATGATAGCTAGCTGCAATATACCCATATATATACATATAACTCAAGGGGAAATTCACCCTTTATTAAATCTTACATATTTTATTTTAAATTATAAATATGCCATCCTTCAGCTTTTCACCACTGCCAAAAGACATTTGTTTATTTTCCATTTTTATGTGACTTGAGGCAACTTATTTTCAAATTGAACCCTTGGTTAACCTACGCACGTTTTTCGCAGAATAAAAAAAAAATTGTAAAAACAAGGGGTTCAAAATGAAAAAATAAAGAGAATATACCTTTAACCCATTTAACTTTAAATGCTTTTAATGTGCAGGTTTCTTAAGGGGTTATTGATTTAAGAAGCGAGCTCCCTTAGCAATGATTCCAGCATCATTCATCAATATCAAGCGTTTAAAGTCGGCTTCAATCACAAGCGCAAGATGGAGGCTCTTCTGCCTTATTTCCCTTTCTTGCACCCACGCGGGATAAACCTTCTTAAGCCTATCAATCAAAAAACTAGCAGATAGAGCCAAAAGCGCTGACCAAATCCTTTGGAAATTCAACTCGAGAGCCATTTAAGCGGTTTTTGCTACGCGCCACACTGCAACCAAATTGAATCATCGTTTTGCACCGCATCGCCTAGTTGTGAGGGTCACGCAGTTTAAAAATGAATAACTCCGAGTGGGATTGGCCGGGTGGATTCCCTTCCCTGGACTTCAGTTTTAACTGTCACGGGTTTTTAGTAGTCATCTCTTGGAGGTCTCTTATCTCCATCTCCAGTGAAGCGCATTAAAGGCTCGTTTGTCCTGTGGCACTGGCGACGTGGATCGATGGGGCGAGGGAGAATTTGGGTTAATGGAATATAAGTGAGACAAACGAAAAACACTTTTTCCCAGCCCGCTTTTTGTCTGGGCGATTTAAGTTGCTAGCTGGTCTCTAATCTAAAGCTGAAACCAGTTTTTCCGTAATATCTCTTTATTGGACTCGCTTTTCTTGCCAAATGTATCTGAGAAAATCAAAGCAACAAACCGAAAAAAAAAACATTGAAAAGAAAAGTTTTTTTTTTTTGCTTGGAAAAGTCGGGCACAGCCAGTCACCGATGTTTGTTGTTGTTTACTTCATGTTTATGCTGGCCTTTTCTTTGGTCAAGCGCATTTTGCCATATTCAATTTTCCGCAAGCAGCCCCCTCTTTTCCTAAAAGCAAATAGCGAAAGTAGTTTCCAGCTGGTTTTTCTTCTTCCCCTTAGTTTTTTTTTTTTCATTTTCTATTTATTTGTGCCAGTTGTGCAGCAGCTGAGAAGCTTTGAGGGAGGGGATCGATGGGAAATAAAAAGAGCTTGCCGGAAAAACCGGAAAGCAACAGGCGAAATGTAAGTCAAGGTGTCACTTATTAGGATAGATTGAAAATCCCAAATTGTTGCCATGGTCTCAATGCAGATTAAGAAAAATGCCTCAGGAATCCTTTTAATTTTCAAAGAATAGAATTAGAAATGCAAGATCAATTGATACTTTGGAATAATTGCTGTTTTAATGTTAAGATGCCAAGCCCTCATTACGAATTCTCACTAATGACAAACCCATTGTTCGTTTCATTTTCAAGGGGCAAGTCCATTTTAAACTTGCTTTAGAATCGTAAAATCTATTGACGCCACCTTTCGCTTATTTTTCAAGCCATTCTCGTTCCCTCGGGTTTTTAGCTTTGTTTAATCAGTTGCTGAGGGAGCTTTCCGCATTGTTGAACCCCAGGGACTGACGCTGGGTAAACCTTTGTACCGTTTTGTGGGTCAACTACTCAAATGACCCCTTTGGCCAAGGGCTCCCTTACTTTTGCCCCACTGCTGCAGGTCGTTCCCTTTATTCTGGCTTGATTCATCATGACGTTTGCGCAAAAAGAACGAACTGAAAAAAAATCGTTGTTTAATGTTTGCTTGAACATTCAGTTTAATTACCCGACCCCCCTGCCCCTATAATGCTCGTTTTTAGAACCTTTGCAATTTATTTCGTGTTGAGGATTTTTTCAGATACTTTCTGGCTCTGTGTAATTTTCCGACAGTCGTTTTGAAGTTGAACCCGCATCCTGCCAGTTCGCTTTTATGTTCTTTACTTTTTTGTATTATTTCTCGTTCGCAAGTTTTTAATTAATTTAATGCCAAATGGAGACTGGACCAACTAAAGTTTTGCGGCCGGTCGTTATTAACTATATGTATTTGAACGTAGTTAAAATCTTTATTTTATCTGGTACTTTAATTTAAAAATGCATTTGAAAATTGCAATATTCCTTCATGAAGACAACAAATGTATCCCATCACAAATTGTTTATGAAATAGTAGAATAGAACCTAGAATTTTCTGTATTTTTTTGTGTGACCACAGCATTCTACCTATGTGTTGCACACTCTAGTAGGCAATACACTCCATTAGGTAAGCAGACCGGCTTGATGGCCTCGGCTTTTAGCCCTAACTGGCAGACGAAAATGCTCTCTTAAGTAATGCAGTTATGCGTGCATCTCTCTGTGCGTTGTAAGTGCATTAAAAATGTTGCCAAGCTTCAACTGGCGAGAGGGAAGGGTTCTCCCTTCTGTCGACCCACAGGCGACGCCTTGAATGCCATTTCCCTGTCGTCCTTTCTCGCTTTCCCATTTTTCCAGTCCATCTGCCAAAATAAATATGTTTGCGGCAGTCGTAGAGCAATCCTGCCACGCCCACACAAGTGCCACTTGCCATCAGTTAGGCAGTTGGCTATGTGGCATGTGCAAGAACGACTTTCAGCCATCAGGGCCACTGCAACAGTAAATGCATTACGGAAAACTGCAGCAACCCAATGCAGTCTTCCCCTTCGGAAAACCCCTTTCCCTTCCTTTGCATAAATGCAATCAAACGTTAAAAGTATTAAGTGAAGGTAGTGTCCGAGCGTTGACAAGGAAATGAAAGTCCTCGCAGCACTTTGAGGCGAGTCCTGGCTGCTCTTGAGGTGGACATCAACACACTCTGGCGTTCTGGTGTGGTGTTGTGTTTCAATTTCCGGTTTTCAATTTAATTTCAATTGCGGTTATCAAATTGTTTCTTGGTTTTCTGCTTGCAATCGATTTTTAAGATTTAAAAGCAAAATATATTTGATGCTTTTCATTTCATAAATAATTGTCAGCTTTCTTACATTTAACTAAAATGGCAGTTCCATGCAAAACTGCGGGGGGAATCCTTTGACAAATGTTACAGAATATTTAACAATCTTTTAAGCCCTTTTATTGGTTTTTTTGCTAACTCTTTCCATGTTTTATTTTTATTTACAGGTCATAAGCGACTTAACGAATACATATCCCACTATGAAACACTCAACTATGATCACGAGCACATCCGAGCTAGTCACAATAGAGCGCGACGATCAGTGACCAAAGATCATTATGTACATTTAAAGTTTGCATCACATGGAAGAGACTTCCATCTTAGATTAAAACGTGATTTAAATACATTTAGCAATAAGTTAGACGTGAGTATTGCTCTCAAGATTAAAATCAAAAACCCTTACTAAGACATACTTTTTTATTTTTAGTTTTATGATAGCAAAGGTCCCATTGATGTCTCCACGGATCATATCTATGAGGGCGAAGTGATAGGGGATCGTAATAGTTATGTATTTGGTTCCATACACAATGGGGTATTCGAGGGTAAAATTATAACGGAACGTGATGCCTATTATGTTGAACATGCCAAACATTATTTCCCCACAAATCGCACGGCGACAACACCACCAACTTCGACGACATACTCCACCTCCACCCCATCATCATCTTCATCGACAACAACAACAAAAACAACAACAACATCGGCTCCTAGGAGCACCACGAAAAATACACAACCAACACGGCCTTTGGCCCAACGCAACAACAACAACAACAATATAAGCTACAACAACAGAACTGCCGTTGATAGTAAGACAGAAAACTTCATAAAGAAAATTGCTGAATCCACAACAACGAGCCAGCTTCCAGAGAGTTCCGACTCGTTGTCGTCGTCGTCGTCGTCGACAACAACATTCCCACCCACATCGGTGAATTCCGAGGACGAGCAGGAGCATAATGCCGAGGACGAACTTGATTTTCACTCCATTATCTACAAGGAGTCACATGTCGAGGACGCCTACGAAAATGTGCGCGAAGGTAAGTCGAAATAAGTTCCTTTTACCACTCTTCATTCTGGCACATTTTAAAAGTAAGTTACCGATGCAGAAATGAAAAATTCTCTCTCTCGCACATTGTTAAATGTGATTTATTTGGCGGCTGGCACCGCCGGAACTTCTCGACTTTATTCAGCAGCTATGGATTTCGTTTGGGGAGAAGGACTCAAGTCAGCCTTGAAATTGTTTGATAACATTTCGTTCCTGTTTTGACACCTAAGTTATGACAGTCGCGAGTGCGTGCTAATCATTTCTGTTGTGCTGGGGACTTGAGAGCTAGCTGTCAGTTTGTCAAATGGCACACTTTTCGGGGGGGCGGAGTTGAGACTGAAAGTAGCTGGGGCTCAGTGGCTGTTGAGCTTAACAACTTGTTTATCGGAGCTGTGAAAATCTGGCGCAAGAGCTTACCTAATGTCACGCTAGATGCTTCGCTTAGCACGCTTCAAAAAAAAAAATGTGGATATTTACGAAGAAGGGAACAAAGTTTGGGAACTGTCTTAGCTGATATATATTATTAATTGTTTTTTCTCAATGAAGTAACTTTATAAAACCAAAGGCTCTAAATAAACCTTATATTTAGAGACGGTTATTGAATTTTCAATAACAACTTACTGGAGTTTAAATGGCAGTGATTTTTAACAGCTGCTGACTTGTACAGTCGGCTCCTAATCGAAAGACAAAGTTTTTTCGAATTGAGGTAGAATGTTTTTCCCAGCCCAATTAGAATTTGTCAACTGAAATGGCAACGAAAACTGAGCATACCGCAGCAGTAGCTTTTCACCGCCAATGGCGATGGAAACTTTGATCCGTCAGCTGGGCGGACAAAGAAAAGACAGAAAAACTTTCGTTTGGCTGAAAACAGGCAACGTGGCAACGGTTTTTCATGGTTTATGCAAAAAGGCAACCCAGCGACTTCATTTTAAAAGCAAGCCACGCATGCAGCGACGTAAAAAGCAAAGAAAATAAGAGGAATATTCTCTCGCCGGTTCAATGGTCAATTTTTTATGTAACTCCCGCAACACAATGGTGCAACCAAAGAAGGTGTGCCCCCAGACTCGCACACTCGTGTGTAATATTGCCCCAACAATGACACTGACAATGAAAAGTTGCAGCTGAAAACTGAAAAAAAAAAAAATAAGTTCGGATGCATCGCCGTTGTTATTGTGCAGGCAGCACCAACTATGACGACATCAGGTTCCAGACCGACGGTTGCTTTTCATATATGCATAGGAAAAAAAGGGGCAGCTATTCTATATCTGGAATTACAGATAAAATATGCAGACATGTTTCTGTTCTTTTTAAACTAAAAATGTTTGCATGGACATGGAAGACTTTCCAATTCAAATCCAATCACATTGCACTTTTCAAGTAAAAACACGAGCGGTTCCTATTAATCTTATTTGCACTTGAGGATAAATCAATTTATTTTCTTCTTGTGTACACACACATTTTCCCATAGCCGTGGCTATAACAATGGGCGGCTGCCACGCCCATATAAAGTTGTCGCTGCTGCTGTTGCAACAAAAGAAGTAGAATCTAATGCATAGCTAAACAACTGAAATGGGAGCATCGGTGGGTATTTTGTTGAGTACACGGGGAGCGCTTTGTTGGCCAACTATTTGGTGTTTTTTTTTTTTTTTTCGACAATCTCTCTCCATTGTTGTTGCTCGCAGAAATTGTATGCAATTTGACATTCCCGCAAAAACACACACACGTGCACATGCAGCACACAGAGAGTTGCAAACAACACTTGATAAAACTATTGTCACGGGCGCATTTAGCTTAGTTGCAAGTTTATCTGGGCGTCGGGGGTGTGGCATAATCACTTTAATGAGCTCACACAAAAGCCGTTTACATGCCCCTTGCCTCTGCCCACCTGTCAGTTTAGTTATTCCCACTCGCCCATTGTGATTGATGTAAAGTTCAAATTCGAAATAAAACAGCGAAATTGGCATTCCATTTTATTAATTCGCTGCTTTCATTTAGTTTCGTTAGTTCGCTGGTGATTGAGAAGTGAGGACATCGAAACATTTAATTAGTTTACATTTTACATTTGAAACTAACTGCTGCCCAGGCAATTATGCTAATTAAAACTGTCCCTCAATCAATTTTAAGTGGGTATCGATTTGCAGTTCCCACGCTAGAGGATAATCATTTTAAATCAATGTAAACCTATCTTTAAATTGGAATCGTTTTAATATATTTTCATATAGGATAGTTCCATAAAATAAATTTTTTTGTTTGATTAATAAAACAATCAAATTTTCAAAATATTATTGGTTAGGTTTCAACACAATTATATTCTTCTCATGTGCTATATTTCTTTAATATTCTAGAAAATGTAATCTTTTTAGGGCTCAATAAAATTTTAGTATTGCTTTTTATGGAACCCAATTAAATTGTGCAACTGTTCGAGTTCCCCTTCTAAATAGCGAAATAAAGTGCTCACAGTTCCCATGACAAAGTTGGAAAGTAAAACAGCAATGTCAAAGGTTTCATATGGTTGTCATTGGTCACTTAGCCGTGGGGGTCATTACATAAACTTTAATTTGTGAAAAGTGCAAAATGGTCTTCTCTGCCATTCGCAGTTCTCTTACTCATTTTCTATTTATGAGTTTTTGCTGCCCCAGTTCGTCGCAGTTACCCACGTATTTCGCCTGGGTTTTCCCCTTGGTTATTTCCCCGCCTCTCTCGGCGAATGTCCAACTTTATTAGCTTCGGTAAGAACGCAACTGTGTCGCGAGGTGTTTATGCTTCTGAAGTTATCAGGACTTTCTTCCCTCCCCCGACGGCCAAACCCACACTCCATGCCGCACTTTTAATGGCATTTTAGCAGCATATTAACTTTTGTAGTGGAAATGAGCAGTCGTCGACGGACCCTAGATTACATTGTTGGTGTGTACACACTCGTTCATTCATCCATTTGGAGGGTGGCAGCGACAAGGGGTGCGTTAAGTGCGTGTTAAAACCGACCAAGCGGCGCACGCACATTGCTTATCCGCCCCTACGTCCCAACCCCACCACCCCCTTCCCCCGAATAACCCCCTTCCCCTTGAATAACCCCCTGCCAACCCATTTATGGCCCCTAGCACACTGTCGCACTCACTTGCAAGCAGCCAAGTAACGAAGCGTGATTCAGCGAACCCCAGAAGCAGCCAAGGGGTTAACATACGCCACAACACAAGTACTCAATTACACTGGCCAGAAATTAAAATCACGCTGCAAACATTAGCCATGACTTGCCCAATTTGTTGGAATAAGGCTTCCTTATTGAATATATTTAAAAAAAATAAGTAGAACCATATCTTTTTAAAAAGCAAAATCTCACAAGTGTCGTAACAATTCAGAAAATATTAAAGCTTGCTTATTTATAGGAAACAATTAGTAACAACTTGAAATTATTTTCAAATTTTAAGAGAACATTTAATTTCACGTTAAACATTAAAAATGACTACCTTTAAAATTCTCAAAATTAACTAAGAATTTATGTTGCAAAAAAAAATTTGAAATTTCAAGAATGTTTCCAGTTCCTTGCTTACATTTCTTGCAATTTTGTTTTCGAGTGCACCCAAGTGCAATGTGTTCTTGAATGGTGCCTTAGCTGCTACTGCCGCTGCCTGGAAATCACAATTTATACACAATGTTGTAATATAATTTTTGCACAGCAAAACAGAGAGCAACTCAAGTGGCACATTGTTTGCTGGCGTCACTGTTGCTCCTTATGTAGTACTCCTCGGCAGGCACACCCACCCGATTTTCACCAGCTAACTTCCACCCATTTTCCGGTTATCCTTCGGGCCCTCGAGTGCATTGACCATGGCTGTGGGAACTTTATCTTCAGTTGCTGCAAGTGCCATAAATGCAATGCGGCTCACATTTATTTACGACTATTTGATTGCACTTGGTAACACTATGCAAATTTATAGAAAAATGCCTCTCGCACAACAGCTGCCCTGTTTTCTCTACCCAATTTCATTTTGCTGAACTGTGGACTCATTGGCGCATAAATGTCAATGACACGCAGATGTTTTAAACTCAATTAATTTTGAATTGTTAAAAATGGGCTACGAAAAATATAACTAATTGTTGCGACGTTTTAAACTTTTAATGAATCGGTTTTTTCGATTATGGAAATTTGTGTGTAACGAGCCATTGTATTATTTATGTATTTTTGTTAAATGGCACATTGAAAATCTAGAATTCGAGGTGAACAATCGGAATTCATTAGGTAATTTAATGCAAATTTGTTTTCTTCTTTGTATATTTAATCCTTGTTTGTGAATGACAAATTTCCATTTTGACCCAAATGCATGATTTCCATAAACAAAATATTTACTTAAATATTAAGTAATTCTGGTAACCGAAATTCCACTGAAAACTGGCATCATCGCCTGAGTAATTGATTTAAATTTTCTCCGGCGCTGTGTTGCTGCTCGCTATCATGTTATGAATATGTATCAGTCAACGATGCATGAAATAAGCAGCCAAAAATACATAAATACAGGATTTACGCCGCGTTTCGATAACGATGATGCCGCGGGGCACTGTTGACGTTGGCATAACATACAATAATTTCCGGTATTTGATAGCAGAAGCAAAAGCAGGGAAAGGAGCCAGTCGCCCTGCCCAGGAGTGTGGAGTTTGCAATTGTAAACAAACAAATTTCATGCTAGGTTGCACAAGATGGTTCCTCCCGCTTGTCGTCGTACCTTCCATAGTTCTTTTGATAAGGGGACGATGAATCAAATTCACAAAAAAAAATTGTCCAAATTGACATGCGACAGTCATAGCCGGAAGTACGCTTTTTGGATCTTTATTTTTGTTTTGTGTACCTCGTTTGAAACTCTAGAACATAAACATAGTTTTTATGTTGGTGTCAAGTAATTATATAATGTTTTTCCTATGATTATATTATATTAACGAAATACGTCTGATCTAATTGAAAACTATTTCATTAAATTCCAAATATACACATCGATAATG